TCCTAATCCGAACTAGCTGTACTCCTCGTGGAATGAGGAGTACAGCTAGTTCGGATTAGGAAGCCTAATCCGAACTAGCTACTCCATGCCATGTGTAGCCGCGCGGCACGGGGTTCGAACTGCCGGCATTTAAAAATGGCGCTGGCCGGCTTTATGCAAATGAAGCCCGGGAAATTCAAATCCCGGGCTTCCTTTGCAAGTGCGGTATGTCTACGTTACCCTCCTAGTTCGAACTAGGGATGCAGTGTAGACATACTAGGTTACCTCCCTCATCCAATAAGAGCCTCACACCCTCTCTGATCACCCTCGTCTTGCTAACATGCCTGTAGAAACCTTTCTTGTTCCCCTTCACATCCCTTGCTAGCTGGAGGAAGGGACGGGACAGAGCGACGGGGGTAGAGGGAGCCCTGCAAATCCGCTTCATAGCCATGGGTATCTGCATTCATGGCTCGTTTTTGTGGCTACAAATTCTGTATCCATGCAGGGCTAGATACATGTGAGGAGGGATGGGGCATATGTGGGGCTGGAGGATGCATGTCTGGGGGGGATCAATAGGGGAGCTGGATAGATGTGACTCTGGGGCCCTAACAGGAGCCAGGACCCATGGCTGTTCCTGGCTGGGGAGAGCCCGGTTCCTGGGTCCCGTCCAGCATGAAGACAGCCCAAAGCTTGCGGGAGATGAGAGCCGGACAGCCCAGACACTGCAGGGGAGGCTGGGGAGGGTCAGGGAGACCCCAGAGAATTATGGGGAAGGGGCTGTGGGGCAGTAGAACTCTGCGATGCCCCAGAGGCTCATGGGAGACTCACTCCGGGCGAGACGGTGCCGTTCGGTTCCCTTTGCTCAGTGCCGGCTCTGAACAGAGTCACCGAACCCAGAGCCACGAATTTCCTGTCAATTCCCTTCTGGCCGGTCTGCTTCCTGGGCTCAGCATCCGCCAAGGGCCGCCCCTCGTTCCACCTCATGCTGCCCCTGGCCAGGGCAGGAGATCGTGTCCCTCCTTCCTCCCCTCCCCAACTAGCATCACCTACTGCCCCCTCCCAAGGGAGACAACCCAGGAATGCTGGCCCCCAGTCCCCTCGCTCTAACCACTAGACCCCACTCCCCTCCCCGAGCCGGCGACAGAACCCAGGCATCCGACTCCCTTTCAGACACCAGAAAAGCCGCACTCAACCCAGGCGTGTTGCTGGGGGGTGGATCCGTTTCATGTTTCTGCACAAAGACTCAGTTGGCTGCCAAAGGAGGGGGCTGGGATGGTGGGGGTAACCGGGGGGGATAGAGGGTGCGGAAGTAGAGAGGTCGGGGCTCCACACTCCTCTGCCCTCTGCTGAGGGCTGTTGAGGGAGTCGGTTCCATGATGCTGCAGGCTCCGTCCAGCCGCCCCCGGCTCAGCTCGAGGGGGGTTTGGGGATGAACATGGTCACTGCACCTGGGGGAGAGCAGAGACTGGGGCTCAGGCAGCGAAGGGAGCAGCACCCATGGGGACTGTCTGCCCCTGCCCAGAAACAGCCGCCTCTCAGCACCGGGTGAGGAGTCCCTGTAGAACCGGCCCCCTGACCCTCCCCCTCCCCAGAGGCAGCCGCCTTTTGACACCCCTCTGCTGCACTCACCAGTGATGAGGAAGAGGGGGAAGGAGGCCCAGCCGAGGCCGAAGGACCAGCCGAAGTCTGCCATACCCTGGCTGGCATCCACGACCTTCCCTGTGAACACGGCCATGGCGATCATGGCGCAGAGCCCTAGGGCACAGGGAACAGCGCCACACCCCTTAGTGCAGCTCATGCAGAGACCCACCAGCAGGGGAAGCTGCCAGAGCCCAGAGCAGGGTCCCCGTGGTTTGCGGGGGGCTGGGGTTGGAGGGAGGCCCAGTGGGCGTGGTACCTGCGCTGAAGCTGCCCACAGCAGAGACCAGGGTGAGGGGCACGGGGCCGAGGTGGGAGCGGAAGAACGAGGTGATGACAGCAATGCTGGAGACCCCCCCAGCGATCATGGCGAGGAACAGGAAAGCCCTGGTGGCGTCAACATAATCTGAGGAGCCAAGAGAGACCAGGGTTACATAGAGAATAACCTTGCAGCAAACTCCCATGGAAGCCAGGAGTCCTGGCTCCCAGTCCACTCTGCTCTGACCACTACACCTCTCTTCCTTCCCAGAAGCGGGGAAAGAACCCAGGAAGTCAGGGTTGTGCCCAGTGGAGCTGGTTGGTGGCAGCGGTGGGATCCCTGGCAGAGCCGCCTGCCCTTACCTGACACTGCAGAATATTTTTCGCAGATTGTATTGTAGCAAACCTGCCACAATCCCTGAACAATGCCTAGGTCATTCACCAGCCAGTGGTCGGAGCCCAGGGCGAGCAGCAGCAGCAGGAGGCTGAGCAGAGCCAGGCAGGTGCTGACGATCCGGAGGGGCTGCATGGCAGGAGCAGCTGGGGGCCAAGGAGCTGGGATCTGGGGACACCTGGCAGATGAGGAAGAGAGAGATGGGAAATTGCGGCCCCAGGGGACCTGGCGCAGGCTGGGCTGAGTCCCGCAGCAAGATGGGGCCCGTGGAGCCAGACGGGCAGCGGCCGGGTCTCTGCTCCACAGGGTGGCAAACCGAGATGAACGGGAGCCGTGGAAAATGCAGAATTGTGGCCGGAGGCTGAACCAGCGCGGCTCTGAGCAAGGGGCAGGTGCCGTCTATCGATGCCCCACGGTCAGGGGCTGCCGCCGGCTCCTATGTGTCTCGTCCTCGCTGTGTGGTCAGGGCACCCAGGGCAGCCTGATCAGCAGGGCCAGAGACCACTCAGCCGGGCGTGGCGGAGAGCCCCCGGCCAGCCCTAACCCAGCTGTGCACTGCGAAGCCAGGCTGGGACACGGTGCTCCGGGGGCACCTCTGCTCAGCTGGTCCCAGCACCCGACAGCTCAGCTGGGTCTCAGGGTGCCACATGCTGGTCCCGTCTCGGGGGCGGGTGGCGCGGGGACGGGGTGGG